TAAGTTTTGACTATAATTAATGATTTAAAAATGGTCAAAGTTGAAATTTATAATAAAAACATAGTAAGTGAGCTCAAACTTTTGGAAGCAACTGTATATAAAATTGATATTGACTTCCTTATTCTAATTATAAATTAGTTTTTGATTCTTTTTTCTTTTTTCTAAAAATTTAAAGAAAAAAAAATACAAAAAAAAGATTGTTAATAAAATTGTTTATACTTTTATTCTTGATATTTCCAGATAATTTTATTATATATTTGTTGTTGATTTTAAGAATATATTGTTTGGACTGGTTCACTTTTTTCAAGAAAATTACTATAAAAGAAAATTTTTGAAAAAAATAAAAATCAGTAGAAAGATTTTTTTTTAAAAAAATGATTAATTTGTTTTTGTATATTATTGATTAAAAAACTATACTATTTAAAAATATAAAGAGTTTATTAAGTTAGTTTAAATTAAATAAAACAAAGTTTAATTAAATACTATAAATTAAATTTAAGAAATAAAATTTTATTTTTTCTAATTAATTTATATTAAAATCTCTGTTTATCAAAATTATTATCCATAATTTATTACTATTTATTATCTTAAAAAATAATAAATTATTAAATTAATATATTGAAAAAAAAAGAAAAATTAAAAAATTTTTAAATAATTTTTGAATAAATAATATATTTATATTATTAATAGAAATTTGTTAAATCAGAATATTTTCTAGTTTTAAACTATTAAAAAACTTATTTATTGATTATTAAAACTATATAATATTTAAAAAACTTATTATTTTAAGTTTTTAGAATAAAGGTTTTATCCTATAATTTTTATTTATAAATTTAAACTTATAAGTCAACTAAAACAATATTATTAATAATATTGATTGAAATAAAAATTTGAAAATCTTAGTTTTTTTTTAAAAAAAGTTAAGTTTTTTTATTATTTAAAAAACTTGTTATAAGTTAAAAATATTATATTGTATATTTTTGTTTGTTTTTAATATTATAAATATTTTTTTAAAATTTGTTCAATTGATGAAAAATATTTATACCAATTTTTTCAATAACCAATATTATTATTAAATATATAATTATAATTAATAAAAACTTGTTTATACAATATTTCAAAAATTAATTTATTTTATATTGATCAATTATTTTTAATAAGAATTATACTATTCAAAAATTCAAGATTAAACTGAAGTAAAAATTTTTAGAATATCATGAAAGTAAAAATTCTAAAAACTTTAAGAGAGTTAAAATAACTGATAAAGAGAAAAATATGTTTTTTTATTGTAAAAAATTTTTATAAATAACTTATTTCAAAAATTAAAAAAACTTTGAATACTTTATAATTAATTTTTTTTATAAAAAAATTTTTTTATCCTTAATAATAAATTGTTTCTTAACTTTTTATAATTATTAAAAATCAAGTTGTGAAATATAAACAAGAAAAAAGAAATAAAAATTACTTTTTAAATTGTTTTTCAAATTGCTTTAAGAAAAGTAATAAAATTTTTATTAATATAAAAGTATAAAACTTAATGTAAAAATTTTTTATGTTTTCGAAAAATCAGCAGAAAGAATTATTTTAAATATTCAATTTTCTTTTAAAATGATGACTATAATATATTTATTATTGAATAAATGTATATTTTATTTAATTTTAAAGTTAATTTATATAATATTAATAAATATTAGAATTAGATTCAACTTATTAGAATTTTTAATTATTATATCATACTGTGCTAACAATAATTTGGTTTAGTGGATTCTTTCATGAGTTAATATTAAGGATTCTTAAGAAAATATTTAATAATTGTTTAACCTTTACTTAAATATTACTTAAATTATTACGTGCAGAAATTATTATGTTTTCTCGTTATCTTACACGTGAAATATTTTATTTCAAATTAATGACGCATGACAAATAACCTAGTCCAATAACCAATATACATTGCACCGCATATGCACAGTGTTGCTTTTTTTAGTATTCTTTATACGCCGCCGAAGAATATGCATTATTTGATTATCGCAGCAGTGTCATATCATCTGCGATTAGTAATAATTAGCAAGTGCAAAATTACTTTAATCGTTCTAAAGACGCTTGTATCGATAACACCAATGCGGAACATTTTATAATTTAGTCTGTATTGTATAACTTGCCCTATAGACTTCATCTGCTAGTAATGATAATAGACGACTATCAAATCATTATACGTAATTGCTCTTTATAATTCGGATTTCGACACTTTTTAAAAGATTTATTTATTAAATTATTTTGATGTCGCGGTATAATCTATCTATCTTAATGCGAAATCGTATGTGCTTAATTTAAAAATAAAATATAGATGTAAAAATTTCTTTTCTAGTTCTATTTGTTTATTATATTATATAGAATGTTTAATAAGACAAAAAAAAAATTCTTTTCTTTTTTCATAACCTAATGACACAAGATGTGTTCCATATTCAAAAGGAGACTATTGCATAACCGTTTGGTCCATAGTTTTATGAGGGACACCGGTGCTAAGGAAATTCGTGTGTGTATTATACGGTGGTGGAGCGTATGGGTGGAAGGGCCTGTACGTGCCATTTTGTATAGTTTCTTGTTGTTCACGTAATGCTAGCTGAGCACGTTTTCGCGTTAGCTTTGCAAAATCTAGGTTTTCACATAATAGAAAATTAATCAATACAATCCACAGAGAATTATGATAAAGGAGGAGTGGAAGGGGAAGGGATTATGATTTAACTCACGTAAACCGCAGGCGTTGCATAAAGTTCTAGCACCGTCAGGACCACGTCTCCACTCGGGTGTCTCTTGAATATTACAAGAGTGACATCTACCCGGTGGGGCTGGTCGTTTCTGTAAATTTTCAAAGTAAGAAAGATTAATCAGCATAAGTTTCTGTAAATTTTCAAATCAAGAAAGATTAATCGACATAAAAAGGTATAACTAAAAACTTAAAAACCTACTGTTCTTCTTCGATACTTTGGCCGTACAGGAGAAACCCCAGGATTTGTCCTCTTATTTCTAATTAGATCTATTTCTGTTTGCTGCAGTAGTTTAAGTAATTAGGAATAATTTTTACTCCAATATATAATATTATGAAGGAAACATGCTCATACCTGATTCTGGCGACTTTTTTCATCTTTCAAAGCATTTAATACATAAAGTACCTCGAAAGCTTTGTTTATCATGTCCGTAACGTTTTCCTCAAGTGCAGGTGTAGATGGAATGGCCGAGGTAGAAAATGCCCAAGGTTTATTTTCATCCTCAGGTCTATTACAGAGATCGCTATAATTCTTTGCAAATTGACCGATCAGAGTGCAGTGGTTTATTATCTATTTGGAGTGTTCAGAATTATGTGTGTCTTAGTGTCTCAGATTTTATATTTATCATAAAAAATTAATGGAGAGCAAACCTTTTTAAGATCAGATATCGTCCTGTCCTCATCCAGGGAAGATGGTTGATAAATATCTTTCATGAAAGAATCGCGACAATGATCGTACTCTGAGGGATAACCGTTGGCACCACATTGGGATTGAAGGGGTTGGGAGTTATAATTAGGATCAATTGGTGGTGCACATTGACTCGTAGAGGATGGCGATGTACTTTGAATTTTATCATTATCGTCGTTGTAAATTGGTCGTGAGAGAATTGTACTGGTTTCCTGTAAAACTGGGGCGGATTTTGGCGCGGGTGAAGGTCGAAGAGTAATTGAGTTCAACGAATGTAAACTGGGTTGGACGTATGGTTGGATTTGGTGAGCGCTCGAAGTTGCATGCTTCACCAAGGGAGCTTTGTCGAGGTCGGATTTAGGCTGAGGATTTAGAAGCGTGGATATAGGGGGCAAGGAACACCTTGCGTTAAGGTTCATTATATGATATTGATTTTCTGAAGAAGTAGTTGATGATGGTATTGTGACAAAAGGACTAAAATTTTCTCGAAGGAATATTAAGCGTTATTATATATATTAATACATGCACATACATATACTGTATATTTATTTATTTATGTTTATTTTTATTTATTTATATTTTGTATGATATTTTAAGGCATATACTGTATCTACGCAAAAGAAAAGACTCGAGTGGACCGAGAGCTATTGTATAAAAAAAAAAAAAAAAAAAAAACTCGGATACTTTTGAAGATTGGTTCTCGAAAACATAAATTTTAACCGAGACCAAAAGATTTAAATAAATGGAAAAGGTAGCAGCTCAGATATCATTTCACCAGAGTATTTGTTTCTGCAATAAATATACCCGCCATAAAAAGTTGTGCACACCTGAAAAATTTAATTTGTAGATTAAAGAAATCGTTGGTGAATGAATGCCATTAAGATCTTTAATACGTAGCAGATTTCACGCCACAACTTTATGTAATATAAACAAACTTAAATGATCGTGCTTAATAACAAAAAGTATCACAATTGTCTTACTACGCAAGAGATGCAATGCAAAACACTACACTAACCAGTTGTGATCGTGTTCTCGTGCATAAAAGAGATAGATAGTAAAACTAAGTTTGACCAACCTTAATTGGATATACTTATACAAATATGCTAGTCCGAAATGAAAAAAGGATAAAAGAAAACGATAGTTGATTCACGGAAACTTCTAAAAGTAACTTCCAAGGACATTTGCAAGTGATCGACCGCCCGCGCAATTCACAATTCAAGAAAGGATTAGTCAAAATCCAATAATCTGGGAACTTAAAATCATGGAACTCCGATTGCATTAAAACCTGAAATGTTTCGAATTCTATTATTTACAATGAGATTCCATGTATATACAAATTATAGTGCATGCCCAAAATGTTAATTATAAAACTTTTCAAGACTTGAAGAAGGTTGTGCAAACATTCTCATTGACAACTGATGATTTTCAGAAATCTGTGTAAACAAACAACATTTTGATCTTTTCTGCAGATTTCAATGGGAGAACATTTGCGCTAAAAATGTTGAACATCCGCCGGGAAAGGATAAATTGAGAAAAATACAATAAGGTCATATGTACAAGAATAACATGTTATCAGTAACAAACCACCAACTCATTGTGCCGCCGTTGTTTATTCTGTCGTCAATGTTTAGTTAGTCCGAAATTTCAAATTTGAGAATATAATGAATCCGCGATTTAGGTATTTTCAGTTGCCTAGCAAGGATATTAAATAAGGTAATGATAAGTGCAGTGACATTTTGCAAATCTGTGGTCACGGATAGCTAACAAACAACCATCTTGTATTACAGTACATGAATCTGCGAAGGCTAAGGGTATTTATATTAAAACTATACGGGTATATGTTTTAGTAACAATCGATAAATCGAACCTTTATTTACGATTATCCAATATAAGATTTATCGATTCTACTGTATCGTAAGCAAAGAAGACTATCCTAAGTCTCATGTGCGTGTCACAGAAATTTGGTGCGCGTTTGAGTCAAAATAAATGAATATAAAAAGTTTTCAAAAAATGTAAATTTTAATTCCGCCATCGCTTCAATGTCCAATTTTGCAAAGTAATTGTATAACCAAAACTTGATTAAATTAGCTAATCCGAGGAAACAGGCATCTAGATCTTTAATATCTTTAATCAATTTATTGCGTCAATTAAATTGTCTATTATTAAAGGAATTGTTCAAAGTTTTATACAGTATATTCTACTAATAAATAATCATTAGATTTACTGTATATTTTATTATATAAAATAATATACTGTATATTAAATTATTATAACCATAACATTTTTATTTAATCAATTTTTTTAAAAAAATATATACATATATTTGAAAAATATAAAATACAATACTAATTTATTTTATTTATTTTTGCAAATAGTTAATCAAGATTTATTGATAAAATTTGGTTTTTTTTTATTTTTTTATTTTTTTTGAAACACATGATGCTATCCATTTTATTGATTATATGTATTACATATACTTTTGTTTACAAAGCAATTTTGTAGACTATTTCTATGCTTAGTGAAACAATAAAATCAATTAATATCATACCTATTGTGACATGTTGCTTTTTTGTAAGTACTAATACTGTATTTCTAGGTTCCCTTAACATGTATTGAAATAATGTTACATATGTTTAAAAAATCACAAATAATATTTTTCATATTGTTTATAGAAAGTTTATAGAATATAGATATCAAATTATATTAATTATTAAGTATATTATATGATATTAAGATATTTTAACCTATTTATCAATACAAATAATATATTATATACTTTTATTGTATTATTACATAAATTGATTATATAATTATATTAAACTTTTTTTAAAATAATAAAAACTATCTAAATGAGATTCTTTTTAATTCTTTATCAGATTAGTTATATGTACTTTATTAAACAATTTGTAAACTATATATATAGTATATTATATATTACTAAAGCTAAAACTCTAATTAGCTTACTCATCTTTATTAATATAACTTCAAATACAACTTTAAAAATAATTTATTATTTTATTATTAGTTCAAGTAAAAATTCTTTTAACTATTAACTTTATTGTCTATAGATCACTACTAATAACAAGTCTCTAAAGTATTTGGTATTAAAATTTCACAGATCACTTATGTTTCTTTTTGAGAGACAAAATTCATAGCTCTTCACTTTAATAGGAACAAAAGTCAAGAAATATTATAAATCAAAGATTTGAATAATGAAAAAAATTGTGGATAGTTTTTAAATAGTTATTAATTTAAAATCTTTAATGTTTAGTAATGAAAGATATTTGACTTTTGTCACCATCTTCCCCTTTAAGTACCTATCTTTAGTTACTATCACAAATTATTTAATAAGTTCTAACAATAATTAAAACTCAATTATTTTATTTCATATTTTATTTCTTTTATTAGAACCTCCTTTAGATTTCTATTATTTAGTCTTTTCTTTTTATATTTTATTACTTTGATTCTCAGAATTCTGGTTTTCTTAACTGATAAGTTCAATAATCTTTTTATTCTATCTTTTCTACTAATCCTTTGAGCTTTTTTTTATTT